ATTCTCGCATGCAGAGGACGCAATGCTTCCTTCCCTGGTTAATTAGCTGTTATTTCAGATTTTGTCTTCACTGTTCACCTGATTCCTTTGTGGTGTCTGCTTATGACAGCTCAGATCCAAACACTCCAGCTTTTTGCAGCTCATACACACTGCTGTATTGAGACATATGACATCAAATTGGCCTGTATATCCTAAAATATGGGCCTATTTCACTGCCCAGAGGTGCTGGTGCACTGAAAAATAAATTCTGCTGCCGAAACCGAAAATGCAGGATGCACATGCCCAAAACCAAAATGTCTGCATATGTTGGGAGGCTCAAATTTTTTTTTTTTGTTATTCCTAATGTATGTTTTTATTTTAACGTATGATTTTATTGCTCACATAGGAGACCAATAGTCCCCTATGTGCTAGCATATAAGTGACAGGTCCTCTTTGTAGTGGGAGGAGTGGTGTATACAGTGAGGGAGCGGTGTATACAGACGGTCCCTCACTTGCCAGCGCTAGATGTCATTTCCAGTTTTTAAATACACTTGCCAGCTTTTTTTTTTCCTACACTTTATAGCTCCAGAAAAGGAGCTGTCATTCACCTCTTTGCCAGGCTCTCTCGCTTGTTGGCGCTAAATGTCATTGCTGAGTTTTAAATGTAATGTCCGGCTTTTTTTCTTCACTTTATCTCTGAGAAGAAGCTGTCATTCGCCTCCGACGCTAAAGTAAACTAAGGGGCGGGGTACCTGGGTAATGTCCCTAGGTAACCCTTCCCCCTTGTTTACTTTAGCAGCAGATTACAGCTCCTTCTCGGAGCTATAGTGAAGGGGGAAAAAAGCCGGCAATGACATTTAGCACCGGCTAATGGGGGAACCTGTCTGTATACACAGATCCCTCACCGTATACAGTGCTTACCTCCTCTCTCCAACCCCCCCCCCCCCCCCCATCTGCTGTACACCCAGGCCCCTCCAACCAAATAGTCCACCCGTCATTGGGGTCGGGTCTCTCATCATCGGCACCTATATACAGACAGGGTCCCTCACTTGCCAGCGCTATATATGTCATTGCCAGTTTTTAAATACACTCGCCAGCTTTTTTTTTTTCCTTCACTTTATAGCTCCAGACAAGAAGAATCAAACTACCACAGCGCTGTGGTAGTTCTTTGAGAACTACAAGCAGACAGCTGCAAAGACTGTCGGAACTTGTAGTTTTCCCATTCACAATACACTGTGAAAGAGTGACGTGGCTGGGAGGGCAGAACGCATTCACCTCTTTGCCAGGCTCTCTCGCTTGTTGGCGCTAAATGTCATTGCTGAGTTTTAAATGTAATTTCCGGCTTTTTTTCTTCACTTTATCTCCGAGAAGAAGCTGTCATTCACCCCAACGCTAAAATAAACTAAGGGGCGGGGTACCTGGGTAATGTCCCTATGTGACCCTGCCCCTTTGTTTACTTTAGCAGCAGATTACAGCTCCTTCTCCGAACTAAAGTGAAGGAAAAAAAAAAAAGCCGGCAATGACATTTAGCGCCGGCAAATGGGGGAACCTGTCTGTATACACTGCTCCCTCACTGTATACAGTGCTTACCTCCTCTCTCTGACACCCCCCCAATCTGCTGTACACCTAGGCCCCCCCCATCCAAATAGTCCACCCGTCATTGGGGCTGGGTCTCTCATCATCGGCACCTATATTGTCCCACTTTTTCCTATCGGCAAAATGCAGACAGGCCTATATTCTACTGCAGAAATTTCGATGCATCCCTACTCAAAGTATATCATCACCTGCACCAGTGAACTGCTGGATGCAGCTCTCCCAGGTATACGCATTTCCAGGCATAAACATGTACAGGCATCTGCCCCTGGATGCATGTTTATGCCAAGAGCTGCATTTATGTGGGGCAACTGTCTCTTGGTATTTGTACAGATGGCTAATTGCACTAAAATATACAGGCCGTGTGCGTGAGTCCTTATCTTTGTTGTATCTCAGTGCTGCCAGTCTCCTGCATCCTAATTGCGGCCAGACACTGTCTTCTACCTGCAGGCATTACGGCAATGGCTGTTTGTCATTTCTCAGGGTAGGTGAGTTAAAGGATAAGTTCACCTTTTGTGTTACACACATATTCAGCTTGTGACATGTTACAAAAGGACTTTCCCCTTGCCCCCTGATCCCCCATTGTGAGAGCTAGAGGGGTGTCACCTCTGAGACCCCCCCACCCCCCCCAACTTGCTGTCACAATTTACTAAAATTGTGGTCATGCAGCGTTCTGCCCTCCCAGCCACGTCACTCTTTCACAGTATATTGTGAATGGGAAAACTACAAGTTCCGACAGCCTTTGCAGCTGTCTGCTTGTAGTTCTCAAAGAACTACCACAGCGCTGTGGTAGTTTGATTCTTCTTGTCACTGTGTATCTGCTTGCCCAAACTAGGTACGAGCACACAGATAACACTGACAGTCTGCAGGAGTGAAATGCTTTCCAGGCTCCCAAAACAAAAAGTAGTAAATGTACATTATTTTTTTTTTTACATGCAAAAAAAGTGCATTTATTATTTTGTTGTTACAAGGTGAACTTATCCTTTTAAACCCTTTTGCCACCAGGTCCGTATGTCGTAAGGACCTTACAGCAGGGGATTTATACACACTCCCGATGGCTGCAACTGCCAGGATTTTGTATAAAACTGACAGGCAGACTCCCGCCTGTCAGGTGAAAGCAGTCGGGTGACTGCGCTGTCGCCTGATTGCTTCCACAGCCACCTGTACCCTGCATGTCTTAATAAAGAGAACCTGTCACCTAAAAATCATCAAATAGAAGACTTTATGTCCCCTATGTTATTGGGGAAAAAAAGGTTAAGTAAGCCCCCCCCCAATAAAAATTGTGCCCCCCTCCACATAGACATATACAAACATAAATGCACACGTCGGGGCACCTACGCTTGAAAACGTCGATTGCGATACACCTGTTATATATTGCTGCGCATGCCAGGGTGAGAGCCATAAATCTAGCACAAGACCTCCTCCATAACACTAAACTGATGACCTATAGGGGTTTTTGATGCGTCACCTATAGAAAATATAGGCTACTGAAGTTTGTTGCCATTTAATAGGTGTACACAAATTAAGGTTTGGCATGTTGGGTATCTATTTACTCAGCACAACCTTGTCTCTAATATGTTACCAAAATTTGAGTAATTTATTGCTTTTGTTTGCCCTAAAATTCCCTTTTATTTTGATTATTATTATTGGTACTTGTATAGCGCTGTCAATTTACGCAGCACCCTCAAGGGGTTTACAATCTAACTCACATTCATACATACACATACTAGGGCCAATTTAGACAGAAGCCAATTAACCTACCAGCATGGCACATGCCAACTCCAGGCAGGTGGTGTCATGGTTGGGTTTTGAGCTACCCTAGTACTGCCAGGCAGAAGTGCTAACCGTTTAGCCACTGTGCTGCCACAACTTGTGTGTTTTTTACTGAAATTTTACCTTTGCATTAATATCCGCTGACATAAAAATTTAAACTACCACTATTTTATTCTGTAGGGTAGACACCATTACAGAAAATATATAATGTTTGGAGGATTTGTGTAATCTTCAAGTCTGAAATAATTTTTTTAAACGTTTGCAAAAATGCAAAAAACTGCTCTAGCAGCAAAAAGGTTAAAAAGGATAAGTTCACCTTTTGTAACATGTTACAGTTGTGATCAAAAGTTTGCATACCCTTGGAGAATTGCTAATAGTCTTACTATTTTTAAAGAAGACATGAGTGATCAAGCAAAACAAATTTTATTTCTTATGGGATTAATATTCAACTGTAGGTCATAACAGAATGACACAATCCTAAAACAAATCATGGCAACAAGTAAACCAATGAAATGACCCCTGTTCATAACTCTGCATACCCTTCATTCTTAATCACTTGCCCTCCAGAGGATTTACCCCCTATCCTGACCACTCCATTTTTTGTGATACAGCGCTGCGTTACTTGAACTGACAAATTACGCGGTCATGCAGTGCTGCATCCAAATGAAATGTACATCTTTTTTCCCCACAAATAGAACTTTCTTTCGGTGGTATTTGATCACCTCTGTATTTTTATTTTTTGCGCTATAAACAAAAGAAGACCAACCATTTTGAAAAAAAAAAACTATTTTTGACTTTTTGTTGTTAACCACTTGCCAACTGCGATATAGCCAAATAACTGCTGCAGCGCGGTTGTCCAGTTCTGGGAGGGCGTCATATGACATCCTCCCAGAACGTGCCCTTCCACGTGCCCCCGGCGGCCCGCACCCGGAGATTTCAGTGTTGCCCAGCAGTGCCGCCAGTCAGTGCCCATCATTGTTGCATATCAGTGCAGCAGCATCAGTGTCGCCTCAATACACATCAGTGAAGGGGAAAAATTACCTGTTTGCTAAATTTTATAATAGAAACAAAGAAAAACTTTTTTTTTTCATTTTTTTTTATATTTTATTTCTTTTGTTTATAGCGCAAGAAATAAAACACCCAGCGGCGATTAAATACCACCTAAAGAAATATCTATTTGTGTGAAAAAAATGCTAAAACTTTCATATGGGTACAGTGTTTCATGACCACGCAATTGTCATTCAAAGTGCGACAGCGCTGAAAGCTGAAAATTGGCCTGGGCAGGAAGGGGGTATAAGTGCCTGGTAGGCAAGTGGTTTACATGTCCAGTAAAAATATTTAAAAAATCAAATTTCATCATAAATTTGGGTCAAGATATATTCTGCTACATGTCTCTAATAAAAACATCCCAATACATGTAAACTTAATTGCGTGAAGGTTATAGCGTTTACAAATGGTTGTATATATACTGGAATTTAAAAAATAAATTTTTTTACTAGTAATGGCAGCGATCAGCAGCTTATATCAGGACTGCGGTGGGCAGTCTGACACTGGGGAGAACTGATTTGTTGTCACTGACATCCCCAGTGACACCAATACAGTGATCAATGCTAATAAAAAACACTTACGCTGTACTAATGGCACTGGGCAGGAAGGGGCTAACATCTGGGGAGATCAGAGGGCTAACTGTGTGCTGTGTTATGCAGTGCCATGCAAAGCAGTGTGCAGGAGCTGACAGGGGAGAGATCTGTATTGTTTACATACAGATCTCTCCCCCGTCGGTAATACTCGGAAATCGCCAAGTGCCAGCGGTTATTCACTAGCCAGGACCCGGTGATTGACGGCAAAGGCCGTAGATGGCGGTGTGGGTAGGGCACAGGCGCACCCCCTACCCAGAACTGCAAAATCACGTGTATATATATATACATGATTTTGCACACCTGTCCCGCCCTGTAGCAGTATTTCTGCTATAGGGCGACACGGAAGCGGGTAATACTGTGTATTGCCCCGTTAGCATCAATGACAGTGTGCAGTTTTTTGTAATAGTTTTCTAGGAGGCCCCAAATTCTTGCAGGTGGTATAGCTGCTCATTCATCTTGGCTAAATGACTCAAAGTCATGCAAAGTCTGGTCGTTTTACATGAACCACATGTTTGAGGTCTCCGCATAGTGGCTTGATGATATTAGGATCAGGAGACTGTGCTGGCCAATCCATAACCTTCACCTTTTTCTGCTGTAACCAGTGGAAGGTTAACTATGGCTTGTGCAGAATAATTTTCGTGTTGGAAAGTCCAAGAGCGTCCCATGTGCAGCTTTTGTGCAGAAGAATGCAAATTGTCTGCCAGTATTTTCTGATAACAGGCTGCATTCATCTTGCAGTTTTTACAAGATTCCCTGTGCCTTTAGAGCTCACCAATGCCCCCCCCCCCCAAACCTCAGTGAGCCACCACCATGCTTCACAGTGGGGATGGTATTCTTGTTGCTATAGACCTTGTTGACCCCTCTCCAAACATAGCGCTTAGGGTTGTTACGATGAAGCTCTATTTTGGTATTGTCACTCCAGATTACAGTGTGCCAGAAGCTGTGAGGCTGGTGTTGTCAGGCATATTGTTTTTTGTAGCATTGGCTCAGTAAAGGCTACTTTCTGGCAATGCAACCATGCAGCTTTTTTTTTTTTGTTATTTATTGTTATATTGTAGTCCTTGAAACAACCACACCTTTTTCCAGGGTGGATTTGATTTAAATGAAGTTGGTTTAAATCACTAGTGAAAAGGCTCGATTTAAATCATAATTTTTAAAGCGCAGCTGTCATCTCTGTCCTGCAGCGGCTCCTCCTCTGACCCACGGTTGACTCACCGACAGTCCCATTCACTTTAACTAGCTGCCGACCGCAGATAGCCGAATGACGGCTGCACTGCGGCCGGCCAGTTTCTGGGTGGACGTCATATGACGTCCTCCCAGAACACGCTCTCTGGGGCGCGCACCCGGCGATCTCCGTGATCAGCTGTGTCCGCGCTGTGATGTGGTAAAAGGCCAGTCACAGCGGCCTTTTACCACGTGATCAGCGGTGTCCAATGACACGCTGATCAGAGGAAAATGCAAGTGCCGGTTCTCGACTGCACTTTCCTCACGCTGTCAGATCGTGAGGAAAGTACTGCCGAGAACCGGCAGTTGTCAGAGCGGGGATCGGCACCGATCATCAGGGCACTGATGATCAGTGCCCTGATGATCGGTGCCCAGCAGTGCCACCCGCAAGCTCCGCCCACCTGTGCCCAGCAGTGCGCCCACTAGCTCCGCCCACCTGTGCCCAGCAGTGTACCCACCTGTGCCCTGCAGTGCCACCCACCTGTGCCCAGCAGTGCCACCCACCTGTGCCCACACACCAGTGCCACCCACCAGTGCTGCCAGTCAGTGCCCAGGGGTTGTGCCAGTCAGTGCCGCCAGTCAGTGCCCAGCAGTGATGCCAGTCAGTGCCGTCTATCAGTACCCATCATCAGTGTCACCTATCAGTGCCGCCTATCAGTGCTGCATATTAGTGCCGCCTATCCGTGACACCTCATTAGTGCTGTCTATCAGTGCCGCCTATCCGTGCCACCTCATTAGTGCCGCCTATCAGTGCCCTTTAGTGCTGCCTATCAGTGCCCATCAGTGCTGCCTCATCAGGCACATCAGTGAAGGGAGAAAAATTACCTGTTTGAAAAATTTTATAATAGAAACAAAGAAACTTTTTTTTTTTTTTTTTTTCAAATTTTTTTGCACTTTTTGTATTTATAGCGCAAAAAGTAAAGTGCCCAGTGGCGATTAAATACCACCAAAAGAAAGCTCTATTTGTGAGAAAAAAATGATCAAAATTTCATATGGGTACAATGTTGCATGACCGCGCAATTGTCAATCAAAGTGCGGCAGCGCTGAAAGCTGAAAATTGGCCTGGTAAATAAGGGGGTATAAGTGCCTGGTAGGCAAGTGGTTAATGGGATGGCTGGTGATGCGGCAGTGACACAACAAGGTGAGGGATTTGGCGGCAGCAGGTGAGTGGATGCCTGCTAACCGGGGCTGCCATGATGTATCTAAAATAACAGGTGCTCTTTAACCGCCTCCGCCCGTCATATAAGGAAATGACGGGTGCAAGGAGGTTCTCTCGTTCTGGGAGGACGTCATATGACATCCTCTAAACATGCGTGCGCGCCCCCGGGGGTCACGCAGCGTGACGATCAGTGGTGTGCTGTGTCCCTGGGACATAGCGGATCACCAATTAGAGGAAAGAGCCGATGACTTCGGCTTGATCATGTGATCAGCTGTGTCCAATCACAGCTGATCACATGTAAATAAGGAAATGCCGGTTATCAGCATTTCTCTCCTCCTCACAAGCTGTCACACTGACAGCTCGTGAGGAGAGCCGGTAGTTGGCATTTCTAAGTGGGGACATCTACACTGATAATCAGGGCACTGATGATCAGTCCCACCTGTCGGTGCCTACCAGTGCACATCAATGCCACATATCAGTGCCCATCTGAGCTGCCTTTCAGTGCCAACTGTCAGTGCCGTCTATGAGTGCTGCCTATCAGTGATATCCGTGAATGCCCACCAGTGATGCCTGTCAGTGCCCATCGGTACCCATCACTGCAGCCTCATTAGCACACATCAGTGAAGGAGAAAAAGTATTCATTTACAACATTTTATAACAGAAATTAAGAAAAAAACTTTTTTTTTTTTTTCAAAATTTTCAGTTTTTGGTTTGTTTAGCAAAAAATAAAAACCCAGAGGTGATTAAATACCACCAAAAGAAAGCTCTATCTGTCTCAAAAAAATGATAACAATTTCATATGGGTACAGTGTTGCATGACCGCGCAATTGTCATTCAAAGTGTGACAGCGCTGAAAGCTGAAAATTGGTCTGGGCAGGAAGGGGGTATAAGTGCCCAGTAGGCAAGTGGTTAAATGTAAGGACTCGGACTCATTTTTTCTGGTAGTTAGAATCTTTAATATTTGCAAACCAAATGAAGGTTTCCTTTCTAGAATAATAAGCTGTCAGGTTAGTAAAACGGCGTTACTCATGGTTACTGTGAAATTGTGTGAATGCATCAATGCGGTGCATGTTATCTCTGCTTCCAGAGCTTGGATTCATTGAATGAGTTTACCAATGTAAATACGCCCCTTGAGGGTTAGGGACTGATGTGAATGTACAATATATACAGTTGTGTTCAAAATAATAGCAGTGTGTTGAAAAAAGTGAATAAAGCTCAAAATCCTTCTAATAGCTTTTATTTCCATACACACAAATGCATTGGGAACACTACACATTCTATTCCAAATCAAAACATGAAGAAAAGTGAATATTAGACTGTTCAAAAAAAATAGCAGTGTTTGTATTCTTCTTTACAAACTCAAACATTCACTATATAAACTGAAAAATGTTTGAAGATTTTGCTTTCCTTTGAATCACTTAATGAATATTTAGTTGTATAAGCACTGTTTCTGAGAACTGCTGTACATCTATGTTGCATGGAGTCAACCAACTTCTGGCACCTGTGAACAGGTATTCCAGCCCAGGATGATTGGACTACATTCCACAGTTCTTCTCTATTTCTTGGTTTTGCCTCAGAAACTGCATTTTTGATGTCACCCCACAAGTTTTCTATTGGATTAAGATCCGGGGATTGGGCTGGCCACTCCATAACGTCAATCTTGTTGGTCTGGAATCAAGATGTTGCATGTTTACTGGTGTGTTTGGGGTCGTTGTCTTGTTGGAACACCCATTTCAAGGGCATTTCCTCTTCAGCATAAGGCAGCATGACCTCTTCAAGTATTCTGATGTATTCAAACTGATCCATGATCCCTGGTATGCGATAAATAGGCCCAACACTGTAGTATGAGAAACATCCCCATATCATGATGCTTGCACAACCATGCTTCACTGTCTTCACAGTGTACTGTGGCTTGAATTCAGTGTTTGGGGGTCGTCTGACAAACTGTCTCCGGCCACTAGACCCAAAAAGAACAATCTTACTTTCATCAGTCCACAAAATGTGCGCCATTTCTCTTTAGTCAATGTGCTCTTTGGCAAATTGTAACCTCTTCAGCACAGTCAACAGTGGGACTTTGCGGGGGCTTCTTGCAGATAGCTTGGCTTCACATAGGCATCTTCTAATTGTAACAGTACTCACAGGTAACTTTAGACCTTCTTTGATCTTCCTGGAGCTGATTGCTGGCTGAGTCCTTACCATTTTGGCTATTCTATCCATTCGAATGGTAGTTTTTCACTTTCTTCCACGTCTTTCAGGTTTTGGTTGCCATTTTAAAGCATTTGCAATCATTTTAGCTGAGCAGCCTATCATTTTCTGCACTTCTTTATGTTTTCCCTCTCTCCAATCAACTTTTTAATCAAGGTACGCTGTTCTTCTGAACAATGTCTGGAAAGACCCATTTTCCTCAGAATTTCAGAGAGAAATGCACTGTAACCAGCATGTACAACATTTGCTGCCTTCCTTCCTTAAATAAGGGCAATAATTGCCACCTGTTTTTCAAAGAATGAATGACCTCACTAATAGAACTCCACACTGCTATTATTTTGAACGTGCCCCTTTCAATTAGTGATTCAATTACACAGAATCAGCAGCATGCATGTCATGACTGTTGGGTCTGTTGGATTTCTATTACTCTACTACACCTGCTAGTAAATTATTTGCCATGTAGAAATATCATTTCTACCAAAAACAGTGATTGATCAGGTTAGTGATGTCTGACTGCTATTATTTTGAACACAACTGTATATGTGTAAAAATGGACAGCGCTATATAAGTACCTGAACTAAATAAAGGT